AAAAAAATCATTAAAAAGTTTAAGAAACTTAAGGGTATTTTGAATATCTGTTGACTTGGCTTTGCAAACATGCAGTAAATCGATCATGAAAATGGATATAAAATTTATCTATACGATTGCAATACTTGCCCCGAAGGCAGTATAATGATTTATTATTAAGATTAGTTGCGAGCTCTTGTTATGACGTAACAAAGAAACAGCTTTGCCGATGATTCTTCTCCAGAGCGCGTATCGTGGCATTAAATATGAAATGTTTGGAAAATTTGACCACAATTATTGCAAGCTTAGATAATCGATGCTGAAATTTTTTCTAAATTGATAAATTCGGCATCAAATGTCAAATATGTTGGTATTAACAGTAAATTCATTTAATTATTTTTTCACAAAATTTGGAAAAAGTTGCTTCTTTTATTAGCTAAGAAAAACGCAAGCAAGCGATGCATGAGTACAATTGAAATATTTAAATAAAATGTTGGATATATATTATGAATAAAAAGTTTGTTTTTGCAATAGTAGTAGTAAGTAGTGAGTTAAGTCATTTCATATGACGCGATAAATTTTAACTGACCTAACGCACGAAAAGTACATTTTTTCATTGAAACTGTTATGTATGGTAATCAATGACCGATTGAATTCGGCTTAGCGTACATGTCATGTTTGTTTTTATATCACAAACGCTTGCACACGCATTCTGATAAATAAGTGTCTGCTTGCTCATGACGAGCACATTCATACAATACTATGTTTTTGAAGTATTTTTTTGTTTTTTCTTTCATTGAATTCGTTTTCTGCGGCGAAAGTTAGTTTTATATGTACCTATTTCACTTATTATTTTTGTTTTTTCTTTTTGTTTTTTGTTTTTTTTTTTTTTTTCTTTTTAGTCAGTTGAAGCTTGCCTTCCGTGTGTAGGCTATAATAACCAACCTGTATATATAATCATAAAACTTATAAAAAGCAAAGACATTCTTTGCATGTTTATTTTTTTATTTTCCATATATAAACAATATTATTGTCAGTCGATCTATGAATAAGATTTATAAAATGTCCGATAAAATATATAAATAGCCTGTATTTATCCCTTTCTCTATTCTATACAAAAAAAAAAAAAATAAATAAATAATTTTAAATATTTTCTTGCTAAAGAATATTATTGTCAGTCGGTCTGCGTTTAATGTTTATTAAATGTCCGATAAAATATATAAAGAAGCAACGACTACTACTACTTATATCTCTCCCTTTCTCTATTCTAAAAAACGGGGAAAAAAAATTTCAAACCTACCTTTGGTTTTTAAATTCGACCAAATATTTATTAGAAATATGTTTAGGTTGCAAGCAAAGTATTATTAAATAAAATGAAAAAAAGAACAGAGTTACACTTTTTATTACGTTCGCTAACTAAGAATAAGGCGGATAGATTAAAGCATTCATGATGTTTTTTTGGCGATAATAATAATTCAGTTTACACTTCAGCGGGCATTTACTTCCCAGGAAAGTCCATAATTCGAATATTATCCTTTTTAGCAACTTCAAAGACAAAACGGTGACATATGTCCTAAATCGTTGGGGCAGGCAATCTCCTTGCTAAGCTGTCCCGCAGCCTGGTTGCAATTATTATGTACCCATGACCTCATGTACAGAAATTCGAATATTAATAGCTTTTTGCACCAGTTCGGAAAGGGTTATATAATCTACTTTGGGAATGGATATGGTAACAACTGGTTATTCGCAGGAATCTCTAATAACTGCGCTTTCCAACATGAACGTATAACTCGGACACAAGCCCTCTGTCGTCGTCAGTACAGCTCACCGAGTCTTTTTATGTGCGCTTGAAAGTCAACCCCGAATTTTCGCTTTCCTTGAGATAGTTGCTAGTCTAACTTTTAAAGCCAAGCTAGAGTCGTAATGACTGGCCATCCTGACTGTACGTATGCACACAACTGAGTATAGTCTTCAATTAGGTTATTGTAGGGGATGTCTTTGGTTTGTCAGCTTAGGTTTTCGGGTTTTTTAAAGTGCTTTTCATTGCGGTTCATTACTCATGAACCTATCCAAAATATGTCAAATATATTTGGATCGTGACACTGAGAGTTTGTGTGTGCTCATATTTATTTAAAGTTCTATGCCCAGAAAGTTCGTAGGCATAATTTTAGAGAAATTCTTTTTAATTTTATTAAGTATCTTTTCATTATTTGGGGATACTATAAGGTCATCAACATAAACCGATACTAAAACGATATTTAGTCTATCTTGATCCATATAAATACATGGATCAGTTTCCAATTCTTTTAAGGTTAATACTTTACCTACCTTACCTTAAAGCCAATGCCTACTACGTAATCAAGCATTTTTTTTATACTGTGTTTTTATACTATTAAGTCCATGACATAATTTTCCGCTTTCCAATTCGTGGGCTTCCTTTTTATCTGTTATTTCACATACTTTGATCGATAAGCGGTTTTACGTACCATTATTCAGAGATGTTACTACTTAAGTAAGTAGGTGCGCCTAATTTGAGCAACTACTGGTATGAGCATTCTTACAAATCAAATTCTGGCGGCGGATGGGAAGGTGCCATTGAAATTGACTTCAGCCCTTCTCAACATCTGAGCTTCCTATTTGGGTATGGTTTTTGTTTTTATATTCTATTAACCACATTTTTCTCCATTCAGTTGCTTGCCCACTGCACCTGTGCACCTTCTCCTGCCATTTGAGAATAAAAGATTTCCAAGGAAACCAATTGAATTGAAGAGTTCCTTTTCTGCTCTAACATCGAACTGTTACGACTGGTAATCTAATTCTTAAACTATATCTCCAACTTTTTGGATTGCATTGTTCGACATTCTCCATCTTCCTGGTTTTTCCATCGAAACTATGCTTGATCTTTCTGAATCGCATTTATGGGTTATATCTCGATTATTCGTTAGTTTCACGATATGATTACAAAGCAAGATTTAAAGACGACCCTGGTGCTGTTGTTGTGACATCGGTTGCACATTTCGTTCCTTCTCTAAATATCTTGATACCCTTAAAGCGTTGTGTACATTTCATGCTTTTGGATCCTATAGTCGTTCAACTTGCGTGTTTACGCACGCAAATGCATCCCGTCCCCACTAAAAGCGTGAGAAGTTTAGTTGCCCTTTTCGCAAGAAATTCTTATTCTGCCCTAAAGATGGTAAGAGATGATGATTAGTCGTTAGTTCAATGTTCCATACAGTGGAAAATTTGATTGCAAAACAAATCTCATGCTACTTCTTTTACAATAAGCGTTGGATATTCAAAAAAAAAGAAAACAGCAACAGCTTATTCACGCTCTCAATATTTCAAAATAATGAAACGCCTGTCATACGTTTTGAAGAATAATAATATAAAACAAAATAAAAACAAAAAGTGTATGGTATTAACTTGCTTGTAACATTCTTCACAAAATCTTGCCTACTAACCTTTAGCATTTATTTGCCTCAAAAAATTGCTCGTAGATTGACTTACATTAATAAGTTACAAGCAAGGCTTATTAAAGTACCTAGCGTACCTAGTTATAGAGGTTGATTCGTTGTGAATGCAGAATTTAAATTTTGATTTATAAATAATTTTGGAATGAATTCAAGTACTCGAGTATGCACATACGCTTATATGCATTCACATATATTTATATGTACGTGTGCGTGTGTGTGTGTGTGTGTAGCGATTACGATTAAATTTTCTGATATAAAAACGAAGAACCGCAATTTGTTTTTTTGCTACCAGAACTTGAGATTTTCATAAAAAATTCTCAGTCAACAACTTAGATGCAAATGCAAGCCCGCTTAGGTGAATGTCTAAAACATCTTTGTACATGTATGTACGTGTGGTATATTGTGTATGTAAATAAATTTGCAAAAAA